GTATTTTTCAAGTTGACAATATGCGGATGACTTGACAAATGCTTTATGGTCTCAACTGCCTTCCTTACATTTTCAATATCCAAAGCTATCCTCAGCTGACCAGCTTTATTGAGTGCTTTCATGGCCTCTTTGAGACAAGTATACTTCATTGCAGCAACTACAGATAACCAATCAACACTAAGGGCAATTACTCTCGCTTTTTTGTATTCATATCGTATATACCTCTCAGTGAATGATTCAATACCTCCCACAATTTACACAACCAAACCAAGACAGGTTTTACAGATAGGTGGAACTTTAGCAACAGTCGTAGATGCAGCAGATAGGTGGTTATTGATTGCTTCCAGGGTATGTCTTAGTTTATGGTAAGCATTCTTGGGGGGCAACTTTAAGTTCTGTTATCAGCCAGTAAACTTTGTTTATAACAACTGCAATAGATAGGCACTCTTGTATCACGTGGCATATAACCCTTTCAGTGTTTACCATAACTCCTTCAGCAACATCAACAATCAACACAATTGTTAGTGCATGGAGGGCAACCTTGCACCCAAGCTTTTGCAGATCAAGTGAAAGATTTTTGGAGAGCTTAAAATGTAATCCTTTTAGCACAAGAACACCTTATTTATTGAGATGTTTGAAGAATTTTGCTCGAATCCAAAACAGAGCACATTGTAAGGAATTTGAGTAATAGTGGTTCTTTTCGCCATCAAATGTGTGGAGGATAATAAAGTTACAATTTGTACAACAGCGTAGAAAACGTTTTTGAAGTGTTCCACATCATATAAGTATGTAAGTTCACTTTCATCTTCCCAAATCAAGTTGTCATGCAAGATTAGCACAACTAACGCAGCTTTAAGAATTTTAGCTATAACAACAACATCACTAATCTGATTCCTCTGTTGATTCGATCCTTCTAAAGCCACCACAAACAAGAACCTATTTTCCTCCTTGAATAAGTTCCCAAAACCCACATATACTGTTAATAGTATATGAAGAGCTCTTATTTTGAATATTAACCATTTGCTCATACTGCTGAGATCCCTGTGAAGTGAGAAGAGCAAATCCAACCACAAAAAAGTGCAGATAAGGGAAAGGAATGAAATTCATTGTAAGTTTTTGAAGGTTAGAGTTGAACTGGCCAAGGAGCCTATAACAGTGATAGCACTTATGGCTGCAGAGATCAAATAATTCAGGTCACCAAAGTTTTGGAGTACTCAACTTCAGAGTCCTAAAATAAATATCATACAAAAGCCTCATTGTCCAATACCATGCACTCATCAGCATTCTCAACAAGTCGATGAATAGAAAAGGTGGCATTGTATTGCTTAACCAGCGTATACGAACCCTTTGATAATGGAGAAAGAAAAAAAAAAAAAAAGAACAATGAGCCTGGAGGGGAAGGCACGCGGATGAGGCTAGTTTCTTCCCCTATTCAAATCAAATATATTCCACAGGCAACATCCTGGACAGATCAGTTACTTTGACATTAAGAATACTTGTATTATGTCTTCTTTTCCCTTTTTTAGCTGAGACATTAGAAATTCCTTTTTTTTTTTTTAGGAGTTATAACATGCTTTCGCCCATAAATATCATGATGTGCTTTCTTTTTTTTTTTTTTTTAAATCTTAAATCTCATCCTTTCTTACGATTGTCAGTAATATCTTATTATATGTTGTGGCCAAAAAGAAAAAAGAAAAGGTTTAATGCTGTTCTTGTCTATGCGTGTAGTCAATTTTGTCCATCGTGATAAAAATAAGTCAAATCAACTTTCAATCTTAAATTTTGTCTATTTGTATAATTTAATCAATTTTCAATCTTAAATTCATACGATTCGAATTTCAAAAATAAGTTTTAACCATTTCAAAACATACTCAAGCAAGTAAATCCCAAGCAGTTCATATTTTAACAAAAATTTCTACAATGATTTTTTAATAATTATAGCACAATATATTATTCATCGTCCTCGCACCTCGAGAGACATGAGAGTAATACTATAAGAGTCTGCTATACGACAAGAACGCCAAAAGATTAATAATAAGTCAAGACAATTACACACTACCTGTACATAGTTTTTTTATGAATTGAATTTTAGGAAAATAGTCAGATTATCTGCTCTAATAGTTGCGATTTAAGTTGGACTCTTCAGGCTCAGACTTGTGGTTAAAGGTGACTCCTAAGCATTACCGTACGACATTATGGTTTGATGTTACGCTCTTGATTTTGATTTTGTGGTGAAGATTGAAAGGACAGTTTTTTTTTTTTTTATAAAGCTGCTATCCAAGGCAGGTGAGATGGACGAAGAGGCAAAATCATCGAAGAACGTGGTAAACCCAATAAGAAAGCATGGACAATAGCTATTAGATTTGATTGCAGATGCAAAAATTAATATGAGCAGATTTAAGTATTTTTATGCATAGAGGATGTTAGGTTCCATGTAAATTGGATTTATTTGGATTTAATGAAAGTTTTTTGTTAAAAATTTTCAAAAAGATAAATATTTTTTTATATTTATGCATTACATTTTATTTATATTCGTTACTTTGTAACATTTGTTGTCTAAATAAAAGTATTATTCATGTTAATTAAAAATTATGACACTCAAGATTTAGGGATAACTTGATCTTCCAAACTCTTAATTCAGCCCACTGACACTAATATAACACTTGGGCTCAAGCAAGACTTATAAAAGCAAGAACAACCAATCATTTTGAAAGGATAAAAAAAGCCTAACAAGAGCTGAAAAAAGAACTGAATAAGATTATAAATGTGCTGAAGGATATTAAAAAAAGAAAAGTAATGAAAAGAAATTTCAATTTGCCACAATGCCTATCGCAAGTGGTGATGGATCCTCTATATCCTTTGGGATGTGGCTGTTATCAACATTCAATTTTTCAAAAGGTTCAAACATAACAATTTTCTCATTTTAGTGCATATTCATATACATATTCAGGCCTATCATCCACGATCGTTCATGGACAGTTCTAAAGTTATAATAAACTTGTTTTTGAAGGAAAGAAAAGTCTTGGGAGATTTAGAATCCCAAAAATGAACTAACGAATTAATCAAGCATTGTTGAGGGTTTAAGGAAAGAAAGGCCTAAGAACTAAAGAAAAAAAAAGGCGTTTGGTCGAGATTGAAAGAAGTAAAAGTTGAAATTCTAATTGGAGTAATTTAATTAAAGGTATTTCAATTGAAAGAGGATTGTATGGGGTTTATTTTGAGAAAATGATAAGAATGAGACTTGGATTAAAAATCCAATATTGAATTCGGTTTGAAGAAGTAATTAAGAAATCTTGTTCTAGTATGATTAGGATAAAGGCTTACTTAAAGATCCCATTAGTAATCATGAAGAATTAATCAGAGAGAAGAAAAGCAAAAGAGAAAAAAAAAATTTGTGAGAGTTTTAGGTAAAAAAAATAGATTTTGGAAAATCAATTTTGGTAGTATTTTGAAGAAAATTTTGATTTGTTTTTGAAGTTTGGATTTGATATAAAAAGGTGTTAAGGGATTTAAGATTGTGAAAAGGGATGAAAAGTTAAATTTGGGCATTTTGAGATTTTTGCAAATTTTTTTTGAAAAAATTTGAGTTTTTTTTTTTTTAAGATTTTGATTGAGGTTTTTGTCAAAATTTAAAAATTTTCGGTAGCTTTTTAAAGTTTTTGTCATCAGATTCTACATTTATCATCAGAAAATTGATATTTTATTAGGTTTTCTTGTTGGCAATTAAATTTTCTTAGAAAAAGGAGAGAAAATTCGATGAAGAGAGAGAAAATAAAAAAATGAAGAAAAAAAGATTTTAGTTTTTATATTTGACATTATACATTATCATTTTGAGGTTAAATAACTTAAAGGATCCGTACGTTTTACAATATTTTGATTTGGTCTGATCGCAAGTCGTTTATTGACCTATTCTTATGACTACAAGTCAAGATGCTTATCGAGCCGATTCAAGTAGTCAAGTCATTTTTTTTTTTGTCTTTATAGTTAAGCAAAATATTGTCTTTGTTGAGCCAAATTGATTCTTTTGGTTTTTTTATTTATTTTTCTATTTGTATGTATTTAAATTTTTTTTTAGATGTAAATTTTATATTAAAAATAAATTTTTAGTCTCACTAAATTATTAGAGTATTTAAATTTAAATTTGAATTTTATTAAATTATTACAAAGTTTAATATTTTTAAAATAAAATTTTAAATAAAATCAATCTTATCGAATTATCAAGAATTAAAATTAAAATTAAATCTTATAAAATTACTAAAAAATTTAATAATATTTTAAACAAATTCATAAATAAATTTTAAGAATCGGTCCTATCAAACTACTAATTATGACAAACATTTGTTTGTCCAGTTCTGCCTACACTTATGTAGACCATATGGGAACCAGCCGAGGCCCGATGGTTCTCGCCTCCGACCAAAAGGACACCAAGTGAAAGCTGCCGTTCTCTTTTTGGCATGGATTCGTAATATAAAATGTTTTCCACCTGCTCTAATCATCTTAACTATGGGCCCCATCTCGTCTTCTCTGAATCTGTTTTCAAAAATATCCGAAAAATATCCCGCATCAATAGGGATAGCACTGGAGTATTTACATGTTCCCCATCAACTACGGCCGAGCGTAAGAATTTTATAAATATTACTAATACTTATAACTACATCAAATCATCAATTACCGATTTGTATTATAATGAGAATAATTATCAAATACATTAATAATAAAATTATTTAAATTTTATAAATAAAATTAATAAATAACACATATCTTAAAAATATATTGATATATGTCAATTTTTTAATTTTGCTAATTAAATAATAATATATTAAGTAACTTCTCTTGACGTAAAAACAATTTGTATTTTCAAATTTAATTTTATTAATTTATTTTTTGGTTACAGTTTTATTTATTTTTAATATTGCAGTAGAGGAAGCATTATTAAATTATTCTTTTGGCCTATAAATATTCACCTTCCATGCCTATTGCAAACTCGCCAATCCATCTGTCACAATATTTCTCACCAACATCATAGACAGAGAAAGAAAAACAAAATTATTAAGCCCAGAGATATATACCTAGTTAGGTATGGGAACAAAAGCAGATTTCACGGTGACGGAGAGCAAGAAGGAAGTGGTGGCAGCAGTGTTACCATTGCAAGAACACTGGCTACCACTCTCCAACCTTGACTTGCTTCTGCCGCCCGTTGATGTGGGAGTCTTCTTCTGTTACAAGGAACAAGAAGCCTTTGGGGACAGGATAAGCTTTGGTTCCATGGTGAGTGTCCTCAAGAAGGCCATGGCTCAGGCTCTTGCCTCCTACTACGCATTTGCTGGTGAGATTGTGCCTAACACTGTGGGGGAGCCTGAGCTTGTTTGCAACAATCGAGGGGTGGATTTCGTTGAAGCTTACGCTGATGTTGAGCTTCAAAACCTCGACTTGCATAACCCCGATGAAAGCATTGAAGGCAAACTTGTACCTCAGAAGAAACATGGCGTGCTCTCGGTTCAGGTATAATTCATACTAGTGAAGTCCTTTCAAATGAAAATGGTTTGTAATCATTGTGAGGTGAGAAAATGGCTTTCATGCCAGCCTTGGACAGTCCAAAATGAAAAGAAATTGAACCAAAAAAAAAAAAAAATTGAAAACATTTGGATGCTTTTATGGTAGTTTAAACAGAGAACAGTCACAAAATGTTAACCCATAATTATCTAAAACTATAAGTTAATTCATGCACGACAAATAACAATATATAATTTATATTACTTTAAAAGCATTGCGATTATGATGACTGCTGGTCAAAATTTTCTGTGGCTGAATGAATAACAATAACGATAACAATCGTTGAAAAACTTGATTAATTAGTCAATTAACCATCAAGTATATATGATTAGAAACCAAAAAGTAGTAGCTCTCTAATAGTTCATGAAAAAGACTTGCTGTCTCCTTGGAATGATTAATTCATTTAAGCTGCACCTTTTTTTTGACTACTTTTGTGTGGATTTTAACGAGAACTAAACTTATATGTTTTACAGGCAACAGAACTTAGATGCGGCGGATTAGTGGTGGCATGCACATTTGATCACCGTATTGCTGATGCCTACTCAGCCAACATGTTTCTTGTCTCATGGGCTGAAATGGCTCGGTCCAAGTCAATCTCTGTGGTACCATATTTTCGCCGGTCCCTGCTGAACCCCAGGCGTCCAGGGTGCATCGATGCCTCTCTCGATCATATGTACACGCCCATATCTTCTTTACCACCCCCTAAAGACCACCATCAAACAACTGATAATCTTATTAGTCGCATATATTATATTACTTCTGAGCAACTCAATGATCTTCAAGCACTTGCCTGCTCTAATGGATACAAAAGAACTAAGCTTGAGTCTTTCAGTGCGTTTTTATGGAAAAAGGTAGCACTTCTTGCTGCCAAAGATAATTTCAAGATTACAAAGATGGGTATTGTTGTGGATGGAAGGGTTAGACTGGGTGAAGGAGATAAAGATAAAGCAAGTCTAATGAGCTCTTATTTCGGAAATGTTCTTTCCATTCCCTTTGGAGGCCAAAGAGTAAATGAACTGATCGAAAAACCCTTATCATGGGTAGCAAATCAAGTTCATGATTTCCTGGACCAAGCAGTGACAAAGGAACATTTCCTAGGCCTGATTGACTGGGTTGAAGCTCACCGTCCTGAACCAGCACTGGCCAAGATATATTGCAATGGCAGCGATGATGGGCCTGCTTTCGTAGTATCATCCGGGCAACGTTTCCCAGTTTCAAAAGTGGATTTCGGATGGGGTTGCCCCATTTTTGGGTCATACCATTTTCCTTGGGAAGGCGATGCTGGATATGTGATGCCTATGCCAAGCCTGGCTAGGGAAGGTGATTGGGTGGTGTATATGCACCTGTTCAAAAGGCAGTTGGAGCTGATAGAGACCGAAGCTAGCCATGTGTTTAGGCCTCTCACTTCTGATTATCTTGATTCATTGGCTCCAATTTATTAACCTAATGCCCTTCACTATATTGCAATTTACCAAAACTTTGTTTCAGAAAAATTTGTATCATGTGAAGAACCAGCCTTCCAGACATCTTGTGTTCGAATTTGGACTATAGTACTACAGCATTATATACAGCTAGCCTGTTTGGAAGTTCTGTTCTGTTACTGCTGTTTTTACTTTTCATGTAAATTTGTAAATGTAAAAAAAGGCACATTTGATGGAGGAAAATGGTTTTTTATTTTTATTTTTGCAAGGACTGTTAATTTTTTTATTTTTTATTTTTTGATTGTATGTTCTATTGAAATAATTCAATTGATTTTCATTTTTTATGTATTATTCGTAATATGTGAACTATAACACTAAAGTGGGAAGCAGAATATATATATCCTATGAGTTTATATTTGATATGTACTATTATTTATATATACTATACACTTTCAATTAATTATTAAATAACACCTCATAAAAAATTGATTTTCAAAATTTCAAATTCTATAAATTGTATACTAGTTGAATGTCTTATTAGAGAGATAGGTTGGATTTTGCTTTGAATTTGAAGCATATGAAAACATTACTTATGACTTGCAGATTTGCCCATTTGATCCACGGGCTTCTATTATGGGTCAAATAACCCTTTAAAGTAATAATCGAGATGATTTTATTGTTAATTTGATCTCATCATTCGTTATTTAAAATCATTTTTATAATCATTAATTTTTAAAAATTAAAAATCATTGTATTTTGTATTATTAAAACAAAATATTATTTTATTTAAAAATATAAAAATAATCATATATATTATAATAATTACATAAATTAATGATTTTATTGTTTTAAAGATAATAATTTGTAAGATATAAGTAATATTTTATTTATTTTATAATAAAATATAAATAATTAAATTAATATATATTTATTAAAAGATAAACTAATTTTTATAATATAAATTATGTAAAAAATTTTGAATTTAAAAATAAAGCTAATCTATTAAATTCATAATAAATAAAAACAAAAAGATTGTATTATATATAAAATATTAAAAATTAAAACATATATAAATTATTTCTAAACTTGTTATAATAAATATTAGTTTTAAAATAAAAAAAAATTATATTATAAAATAATTACAATATAAAAAAAAAACAAAATTTTAATTCACGTATTAATGAAATATTGATTATTATTAATTTTATTATTTCATCTCAATGATCACCTTAGACCTTTTTAAACTTCCTAGATTTAGTCAGGATCTCCAATGTCCTCTTGCTCACCAACAACTCTACCATATCAACAATATCTCCTCTTTAATAGCTTTAATCCAAAATAGAGATAGCAAATAACAACTCATTAATGTTAAGATTCTTGTTATCAAATAGCACCTCGTTCCTCGTTAAACAAGTAGATCAACAACCAACTACAACAGTAGCAACTCACCACAATTTCTACCTCCCCATAAAATGGACTTGATAATTTTATTTTTATAAAATTATAATAGTAATTAATCGATTAATTATATGACTTAATCAATTTTTGCTTGGTTCTTAGTAAATTAATTCAATTATTCACCTGATTTTTGTAAGTATCTCATGTGTAGGTGATACGGACCTTTGCTTAATCCAATTGTAATTTCTAGATCTGAGCAAAAGAGAAAAGAAAGAACAGAGAAAAAAGACGTAGAAGGGCAGAAACAGAGAACCAGATGTTCATGGTTGCTTTAATATTCTCTATTTTACCTCATTTCAAACAGTAACATAAACAGAAAATAGCTACTGAAAAATAAAGGGGGCTTTATGGTAACAGGCTACATGCTAGTCTATTAAGTCCAATCAAATAATTGACTTGTAAAAATAATTTTTTTGGTAAGAAAAATTTGAAGGTAGATAAATTTTTTAATATCTCGAATCAAAATAAAATATATTGTACTTAATAATTAAAAATAAATTATTATAATTTATATATTTAAAATTATCTCAATAAATAATTATCAATAAAATTTGAATCTAAAAATTTTTAATAAAACAAATGATCTTAATCAATTAAATCAACCGATGACTCATAATAATACTCCCACCATGAAAAGCATCCTTGTACTCAAGCATCTGATGCATGAACCCAGTGCAATAATTGGCTATAATAATACTGCCACCATGAAAAGGATCCTTAGCCTCATCTTTGCAGCAAATATCCAATTTGGGATGATCATATCTGAATATGCACCAGTTAAGGATGCTTTTCTCCAGTCTGTACCACCCTTCATCATTGCAGCAAACCCATTATAACTAATTCGCCCATCCTTGTCTGTATCCACATCAAAAGCTTTAGACCAAAGATCCCGCTTAAAATCTATAATAGAGTGAATGATTGCTTGTGCAACTCCTCGTTAAGTTTTTGCCCAGAAAGGTGGAACACAACAAAGTAAGAAGCAAAGGAACACACCAGCACTCCAAACATCTACTTTTAGAACATAATTTCATTTTAGCACCTTAGGAATAAGGTGGTATGGACTTCCAATTATCACAATGGATTTTTCACTTGGTTTAAAGAACACTAGCAAACCAAAGTCAATTGCCTTCAAAGCTGTTGTCTCTTTATTTGCCAACAGAAAATTCTTAGGTTTGAGATCCCTATGCATCTACCCATCCTTGTGGCACATTTGAACAACTTCAACAATGGTTTTGGTGACAGCAACTGTGGCTCTTATGGTAATGACTTCTTTCAATAATTCTATCAAACAACTCACTACCTTCACACAACTCTATAAACAAATGCGCTGCATTGTCATCCTCATAAGTATTTTTCAAGTTGACAATATATGGATGACTTGCCAAATCTCAACTGCCCTCCTCACATTTTCGATATCCATAGCTATCCTCAGTTGACCAGTCGAGACAAGTATACTTCATTGCAGCAACTACAACTAACCAATCAACGCTAAGAGCAATTACTCTCACTTTTTTGCATTCAAATCGTATATACCATTTAATGAAACCAATCTCACCGCCCATTCCAATGGACTCCTAATATTACATCGAATCATCGACTACCGATTTGTATTATAATGAGAACAATTGTCAAACACATTAATAATGAAATTATTTAAAATTTATAAATAAAATTAATAAATAACACATCTTAAAAATATATTGATATATGTCTATTTTTTATTTTGCTTATTAAATAATTTCTCTTGACGTAAAAACAATTTGTATTTTCAAATTTAGTTTTATTAATTTATTTTTTGGTTACAGTTTTACTTTTTTTTTTAGTATTGGAGTAGAGGAAGCATTAATAAATTATTCTTTTGGCCTATATATATTCAGGTTCCAGGCCTTATGTGAACTCGCCAATCAATCTGTCACAATATTTCTCACAAATAACATAACAGAGAAAGAAAAACAAATTATTAAGCCCAGAGATGTAGAGCTAGCTAGATATGGGCACAAAAGCAGATTTCACGGAGATTTTGAGCAAGAAGGAAGAGGTGGCAGCAGTGTTCCCCTTGCAAGAACACTGGCCACCACTCTCTAACCTTGACTTGCTTCTGCCGCCCGTTGATGTGGGAGTCTTCTTCTGTTGCAAGAAACAAGAAGCCTTTGGGGACAGCATAAGCTTTGGTTCCCTGGTGAGTGTCCTCAAGAAGGCCATGGCTCAGGCTCTTGTCTCCTACTACGTATTTGCTGGTGAGGTTGTGCCTAACACTGTTGGTGAGCCTGAGCTTGTTTGCAACAATCGAGGGGTGGATTTCGTTGAAGCTTATGCTGATGTTGAGCTTCAAAACCTCGACTTGCATAACCCTGATGAAAGCATTGAAGGCAAACTTGTACCTCAGAAGAAACATGGCGTGCTCTGGGTTCAGGTATAATTCATAGTAGTAAAGCCCTTTCAAATAAAAATGGTTTGGCGTCATTGCGAGGTGAGAAAATCGCTTTCATTCCAGCGCTGGACAGTCCAAAATGAAAAGAAATTGAACAAAAAAAAAATTGTAAACATTTGGATGCTTTTATGGTAGTTTAAACAGAGAACAGTTACAAGATGTTAACCCCTATTATCTAAAACTATAAGTTAATTCATGCACGACAAATAGCAATATATAATTTATATTACTTTAAAAGCATTGTGATTATGATGATTGCTGGTCAAAATTTTCTCTGACTGAATGAATAAGAATAACGATAACAATCGTTGAAAAACTTGATTAATTACTCAATTAACCATCAAGTATATATGATTAGAAACAAAAAAGTAGTAGCTCTTTAATAGTTCATGAAAGAGACATGCAGTCTGTTATGTCCCGAGATCAAGACGTAACACGGTCATATTATTTTGAAATAAAAATCTAAAGTAATACAAAGCTTTTTTTTTTTAACTATTTTAAAACTCTTCAATAAAATAATCTGCTGAGTAAAATCCATATTTTTAATCTAACTAATGATACATCTCTACATATCCAAATACAAATTATATAAAATATAAAACCATTAATAATATCCCATTGGCTAACATTATCTTTGACAACTAAGTAATCTTTCCAATTTTGATCTTTTAGCTTCTCACAAGACTAACTAAATTTATCATTTACTCATCTATAAAGCAAAAGCAAAATGGAAATGAGCAAACCATAGCTCAGCAAGTATTGGCTCACACACCTTACTAGATTAAGCATAGTTTTTATACTTATCATATAAATCATTCAAAACATTCGTCAAATCATAATGTCAAAATATTTCAAAAATTATCGTTTTGTCAAACATTTCGTAAATTCATAAATCAATGTCAAAACATCTAAATTCATAAATCATTGCAAAATATATTATCATTTAAATATCATAATTAAACCAAATCATAGATCAATCATTAAAAATCATCATAAATCATAATTATCATTCATTTATTATAAGCTACAATCATTGCTATAACCAATGATATTGGTCGTATCGATAATTTTAACGTCATGATTATTGCTAATTATTATAACCCGTTAGCTAGGGCCTTACGCTAACTGCTATAACTCATTAGCAGAGCCGTATGATAATGTCTATGCTAACTACTATTATCCATTAGCAAAGGCCGTAGAACTAGTTTTGGTATTGATAATCTCACTTTCCAAGGATGTAAAAATGTAGCTATCATAAAATCGTTCTTTAAACATAAATCATTTTCTCATTTAATTTATAAGCATGATCATCTACATAGCAAAAACACAAAATAATCATATGCTTAGTCTTATTTTCATATATCGAAAATAATGAAATAAAACATTTACTCATTTAGAAACATGCATATATACATAGGTTAAAAAACAAGCAAAATGTGGGAGATTCTACTTACCTTCTTTCAATTCCACCACTTAGTTTTTTCCCTTAAAATAATTAATGACCTATTCAAAATCATTTCAATATATCAAAAATTAATCAACTTTTTTTGAGACCATTTATACTAAAAACAACTAAATTATTCAAGAATTAACTCAACTAACTGATAATGTCAGCCCGACCTCTTTTCATTAAAATGGCCATATCACAATATATCCAAATCAAAATTAAGATCTCTTTAATGCGTTAGAAACTAGGCTTGATAAGCTTTCTAACCATAGATGGCTCACCTTGTAATTCCTTGTAGATTAATTATAATAATTTTTGTAATCCATGTCATATACTGCTAGTAGATAGCCTATATACCTTCTAATAAAAATTACACATTTATTCATAAAACACTCCAAATTCAATTCCGCTTATTTTGCTAGAAGTAGACTCAATAAGCTTTCCAAACATATGTGGCTTAATCTGTAGATCTTTGTATAAAAATTAATACAATTTTTGAAATTCAACCCTGATGCTGTTACTTTACAGCCTACATATCATTAAATAAAAATTAAACAACTCTTTATAGAAAACTTAGATTCGACTTCTGTTTGTTTAATTAGAAAATAGATTTAACACATTTTCTAACAATATATAATGATCATAGCAATAACATATCCATTAATACAAAATTCTATTTTGATTCACTATTGCAAATCATAGCATCTCATCTAAAAACAGAATTTCTCTTTCAATTTTTAAAAATTTAAATCCCCACTTTTAGCTTTTAAAATCCATTCAATAATCATCAATAATTCTTAAGAACATGAAATAAACAAAGCCAAATAATTTACCGAAATAGATCATGAAGATTAATGAAAGATTTCATAATTTTCTTGGTTTTTTTCTCAAAAGTTTAGCTCTATATAATAACAATCAACATGATATTTTTTCTTAAATAAAAAAAGGGCATGTACTCACTTTTAGGGGATTAACTTGATTGTGGCATTTGATTTTGAATCTCCAACTTGATTTTTCATGCTTTTTAACCCTAAAAAAAAATGAGGAATAAGAACTCTCATTTCTTTTTTGTTTCATGATAGCTAGGTTTTCTTTCATTCAATACCTTTGGCCTTTTTCTTTTATTAATTAATCTCTTAATAAACTAATAGACTTTAGTATTAGTCTAGCCCAATTATCATTTGGGCTGGGGTATTACATTCTTCTTTTCTTATAAATGTTTCATTCTTGAAACTTAATTTACATCTATATCTTATTCCTCCATTTCTAAAATCATTTCTCTTGTCGATGATTGTTTCATTAAACTTTTATAAAAGTAACAATTCCATTTCAAAACTTGTTCTTTCTAATCAACCATTTGATTAAGATAGTTTTGATATGTTAAAACTTATATTATCTCTAATACTACATACTCATATCCAACCGCATAGCTTGGATTAAGAACATATTCTCTCTTCAAAGATTTGTAATACAGTATATATAATAGATATCTGAGGCGGCAAGATCTTTTATATTGAATTTATTTCACTTTACCAAAAACTTCAAATGTCTTTATATAATGCAAACTTAACTTTCCTTACATTATATATATCCTTGTAACACCTTTAATAATGACACATTTGAGTACAAATGATTAACCACTTGAAAGTACAAATCTTATCTTTGAATTTTGGTATAATTCTTTTGCTTACTTAAAACCATTGCTTAATCAACCAAAATTTATTAGCCATTTTGTTCCATAAACTTAAGAAATAAAAGTTTTTCTTTTTTATCCTTATGCTAATATGTCTAAGACTTGGACTACTTCTATATAAAACCTCAAAATGAATCATCGAATGTTTGTCTTCTGACTATTGTTATAAAAAAAAATTCTCTTCAATTCATGACATAAATACTTCTTAGAAGAATATCAATCAATGATAAAGCCTTAAAAAATAAAGGGAACACAAAATATTCTTACCAAAATCCATTAGTCCTTGTTTATTAAAGATTCATCACTTTCTCAACTAATAATAGCATAAAAATTTAGAACTTAAATCAAATCAGGCTTCCACTATGCACTATAATATTTTCTTCCAATAAAATTTTAACAAATTAATTTTCATAATGTTTTTTCATAACAAGAAAAACATATGTCCACAAAATTTCATGTTCTTCACTTTACATCAAGTATTCATAACCATATACAACCTTAAAGTTGAATAATAATATCAACAAATCCTTTAATCACTAAAAAGATATCACATAGCACTTTAATTTTCTTTCCTTCTCTATCGACAATATGAAAGTTTCCATCAATTAACCATTAGAATACATATAAAATCAATGCAATAAATCATATCTATAAACTTACACTATATAAATTCAAACACAAATCTCTAGTTATCTCCAATTTTGAATGTTGTTCTTTCTGATTTAATAGACCAATTATCATATAATAACTGATTCTTCATAATCCTCACAAACATCATAACGTCTCAGATTTTCTTTTTACCAAATATATTGCTATAATTTCAAAGTCAAAGTCAAAACCTATGTATCATAATCCATAAGTAAAATTCTCTTATAGAATTTAAATAATAAAAACTCCAAACACTTGAATTCATGTTGAAAGTATAGTTATGAACAATAACTAAAAACATCATATTAATTTCATAAATTTTCTCAACTTTCTCTAAAATCAAGTATATACTCAACATCACCAAGTACACAAAATTATCACTTATAAGATTTCAAACAATCTTTTACACTTGTAAGATTTCAAACAATCATTCTTAATAAAACATATATATTTTTCTATATATCATTTACTTTTTCAAAACTTACTTTTTTACTAAATCATTTAAATAACCAAAACTTTAATTTTTATCCACAAACTTAATTCCTTTCTAAGTACATAGCCTTGTACCATAATTGGCAATGTTCTCCAAAAATATAAAATTCAATGGAATCTAATAGTATACTTCAATTAGAATCTATAACCATAAGTTAATCACTTTAGTCATTAAAGAAAATCAGTATACCCCAAATAGGAATTTAATAATCAAACTTCAAATTAACTATACAAACATCCAACTTGCATGATCAAACCTTAAATACTTTTTCAATAAAAATGTGGAACCAAATCAAGTGAATATCCTTCTTTACGTATATTAAACTATTTACCACAATCATCATATTTCGGATTAAATCCATCAAAATAAATTCTCAAGCACTATAATCCATAAATAATTAGTTTAAAATTTTAACATATCATTTCATTCCAACTCCAATATTCTATAGTTTTAATTCCAACAATGTACACCTTAGTCTAAACTTAGTTCAATCTTAGTCTATGATTAAGGATTCGCTTAACACTCATCAAATAACTTCAAAATAATTTAAGTCAAAGGTCTTTTCTCAAATCCATAAGATTTCCAATGATCAAATCATTCTCTTAAATAATCCTTTAACTCATAAAATATGTCTCATTATAAGTCGCATAAAAAATCTATTCAACTTATAAAATCACACTATGTCAAAATAATTACACTTTCTCTTAACTACAAGATCCAAAAGCAATATGTAAATATCAACCAAAATGATTACTCTATGAATTCATTAATCATTGATTCTTCAATATTCATTGAAACTTTAACTACTTCAAAATTCATCGAATCATTTACTTATA